GGAAAAGAAAAAAGATAAAATAGAATAGAAGAAAACTAAACAAGCTGACTTCGTTGCTCCCCGTGCGAGCAACTGTCGGGCGCTTCTTACAACATGAACCTTTATTCTAACTACCCATAGTCTTTGTAATTTAGAGCTAACATGTTCGAGTCCCTGTAGCCTGCTTGTGGGAATAAATGAGACTCGAGTTGACGTCGACCTTTTGCAAAAAGAGCTAGCCAGGAGCATGATGGACTCGATCCTTGTATCTTCGCCTTATAAGTCCGTACATGTACAATTGGGCTAGCTCCTAGTTCGGTCAAGATAGGAGCAACCTTGCTATGGGTAGGGTACATGGCTGGTTCTACCGGTGTAACAGGTCCATGACCTGTCTTTCCTATGGTTAGCTTAGGCCAGTGCCGCTTAGTTAGGAACTCGGACTCCCCAACGATCAGACTGTTTTTCGTCTCTTTGTTAATACGGCAGTCTTCTTCCTCCCACTTTTCTCGCATTTGCCTTATCAGTTCTCTTTCTTGCTCATAGTACACACTCTCCTCGTGTGTCACTAATACCGGGACTAGATGATTTTTTTTGTCTACCGTCTTGTACCTCCTTTTTCCTCCTTGCTTGAGCCCACCCGTAAAAAATGCCAGCCGCTAACCTGAGCATATAGTTCTTGCATTCTTTCTTCTCGAGGGGGCGGTCTGTATACCAAATCCATTCTCCCCACTTCACGGTAATCATACAACTTGTTAGCCAATGCCCGAATTGCCTCTGGTTCCGCCATCTCATAAGCGAAGATCATGTACATTGCTTGGTCAGTGTTAGCCAAGCTCAATGTTAACCCCTCATTTTCTTCTTCCTCATCTTCCTCGTCCGACCGCCATTCTAGTTCCTTTCTTTTATCCTAAGATTCCTCAAAGGTATATGACCTTACATTGGGGCGGTTTTCAAATTGTGGGGACCTGTATTTTTACAGGTAATAACTTCGAAATTTCCACATGCAGGGTCACATAAAATTACGAACATGGTCCCGTCATGCTTGTTCATGATGAGGGTCTCTGATCGTGATAAGAAGGACCTTCCGAATAATATGGGAAGATTCAGGCTTGGCATGATGTAGAAGCAGAAGCGGACCTTGACTTGTCCTACTTCCACGATCACATTTGATGCAATACTCGTGTACCCTGACTTTCCACTGACCCCATTGAGATACCCACAATCTCTCTTGTCGATTTTCAACCCTAGTTTTTCAATCGTTTTTAAAATCATAATGTTCATTTCTGCCTCAGTATCCACCATCCCAGGGCACCACTTTCCTCTAATATTCATATCAATCGACCTAGTCCCTCTAGACTTCCTGCAGCGGGCCTTCATCTGCCCTGGCCTACAGCCAGGGCCTATTTGGCTATTTGCCCAGTTCGGCCTGTGGGACCAGGCCGTGGCCTGATCCCACAGGCCGTGTGTTGTCCTAGTCCTGCCCGGTACCACTGTCGGTACCAGTCCAGTCCAGTCCAGTCCAACTAGTCAGTCCGTTGGGGGTATACCCCAGCAGTTGTCTCTTTTTCGGTATTCTTCACTTTTGCAGATCTTGGAGTATGTGCGTGTGGAGTCTGCGTCGTAGTTGCGCTGTCCCTTCCAGCTCAATCTCTACCTCCTCCTTCGTCCACCCTTCTTCTCCATCCTGTCGGACCGCCATGCTGGCGGGTCCGGCACAGTGGTATCAGAGCGGGAACGGTCCCCGCTCCAACCCGCCCTTCCCCCTGCAGGCGACAGCGGGTGTGGGATCGGTGTAATCCCGACAGCGGGATTTTCAGGTGTTGTTTCGGTGCGGCAGCAAAGAAAAAAAGAGAAAAGCAGCAGCGGGAAGAGACTGACACGTGGCGAAAAAGGAGAGCGCCACCACGCACGCGTGCGCGGAAGCGCCAAGGCCAAAGCCGCCGCACGCGCGCACGCGCCACGAGCCCACACTGCCCCGCCCCGCCCCGCCCCGCCCCGCCCCGCTCCCGGATATATATTATCAAGATATCCGGGATGCTGTTGCTGCCAGGGTTTGAACCCGGGCAGGCAGCACTCATGTGCGTGTGTAGCCAGTGCTATAACACACTGGCCAAACTGTATGCATGGTTGTATAGTGAGGAACGTTCGTGTTGAACAATTCCACACCTGCTATTTACACCCCCCCCCCCCCCCCCCCCCCCCCTCCCCCCCCCTGTCGGCGAGCAGCGAACGGCGGGCTGCGAAGCTATTTGCCCCCCCCCAGTGCACACGCCGTGGCTGAAGGTGCCTGCAGACGTGGCAACCTGCAAATCCACGCGGACACCTGTTGAAGACCCCCCTGGCTAGGGGGCTGCGCCACAAACATATATATATATATATGTTTTTTACTACTATCCACTGTTGCAGCAACAGTTTGACAACTGCTCAAGACTCCCCCTTGGTTAGGGGGCTGTGTGACTGTGGCACTAGGGTGGCTGATCAAGATCTCAACCAACCCTAGATCATCAGCATGTCTTTTGTTTTGCTGTGGCATCAGGCCATCAACCTTTTTGAAGGCCAAGATGCTGTGGATCTTGGTAGAACCCTGCTTTTGGTCACCCAAGAGCCTGGTATCACCCTCCTACCATTAACCTACTACCCCCCAATCCCTTTCTCTCTTCCCACATCATCTAATCACCTTTTCTCCCCCCTACCATTACTCTCCACTCCTCCCTCCCTCTCCACCCATCTTCCACAACCTTTTTCTCTCCTCTCCTCCCCACTCACCATTTCTCACTAATCTCATCTACTCCTCTCCACCTTTTTCATATCCTTCTCTCCCATTCTACCACCCTCTTCTCCTCCTTCCGTCCCCTAACTACAACCCCTTCATCTCCCCCATCCCCCATCTTACCTTTTTCTTTCTCTTCTCACTTCTTTCTCTCTTTCTTCATCACTTTTTCATCCCCCCCCCACACCCAACTCTGAATTTTTCTGTTTTTCTTCTTTTTTCTTTCTCTTTGATTTAAAATTTCTCTTGTCCTCCAAAAATTTGAATCATCTTCTTCCCTACTTGTTTTCTTATTTTCTGATTTATTATTATTTTATTTATTTTATTTATTCTGAAAATTCAAAATTTTCTGTGACACCTCTACATCTTGCTAGGACTTAGTCTTTCTTTATTGTCTGCGCACATTTTGACCCCTTGAGGGTAGCGAAGCGCTGGCCAAATTTTTCCATTTTACTTAGTCTTTTCTTGACGGCACACTTCAACCCCATGGGGGTAACGAAATGCTGCCGAAATTTTTGAAAAAATCCAAGACTTAGCTTCTCTTCACTCTCTTCCACCTCGTTATTTATTTATTTATTTACTCATTTATTTTTTTGAAAATTTTAATTTGCGGCATTTTGAAAGTTAGCGTGTCCCTCTTGCACTTTCCTTCCTCTTGGCACATTTTTGGCCCCATGCGGGGTGGGAAAATGCTACCGAAAATTCCAAAAAAATAAATATTCTCTCTCTCCTCACTCTTTACATTTTATTTATTTATTTATTTCTATTTATTCTTTTTTTTTATTTTTTATCTAAAAAATCAATTGTTTACTCTATTCTCCCTCCTCTCCGTAGTTATTATTTTCTTTTCTTGATTAGGTTGCCGCCACCTTCCCCTAACCACCTAAACTCCGGATAGGGTTTCCTTAGGGTTTTTCTAGGGTTTAGGGTTTCCCTAACCCCCCTACTCTCTACCTCCTCCCGTCGGGCACCCTGGACCCGAACGGCTCCTCCCCCCTCGACCGAATTCGCGCCACCATCTCACGCGCGACCCGTTGGTCACGGGGCGAGCCGACCCATGACTACCCACTCCGCTCTCGCGGTCCCCTCCCTCTCACCGGTGGTCGTCTGTCCCCATACCACAACCCATATCTCCCCCCACCTCCCACCATGTCTACTTCTTTCCCCCCACTACCCACGGAGAGCGCTACACCTGAGGAGATCGTCGTGGCGCAGTCCACATCCCAGGTCACCGCGAAGTTAGGGGCTCCTGGTCAGGCCCATGTGGACACCATGGAGCTTCATGCCGCCCTTGTAGCGATCCCGGTGCAACTTAGTATGCTTGGACCGTTGCAAGCACAAATCAATGCGCTTGCCCTCGACGTCAACTGCCTCAAGGGTTCCCCTTATCGCTCTCCCCACCGCTCCCACACCCCATCCCCTACCGGCTCTGATTCCGGCTCCCCAGGACTTCGGAGACGGAGTCACCATGTTTCCCCCTCCTCTGCGGGTTAGGCCCAACACTCCCCCTCAGCGGTGGCGAGTGTTGCAGCCGCTCAGACCACCCCGTCTGTTGCAACAGTTCTTCCGGCCACGGCCGCCCTTACCGTCTCTACTACTGCCGTAGGTGCTGCGGTCCAGATACCGCCGTCTGGCCCAGCAGTTTCACCGACCCACACCAGTGTTGCTTCCCAGCTTCCCGCACCGGTCGTGGCAATACGGCTCTGCCCTCTTCTTCCTGCCTTCGTCCCCCCGCCCCCACAGCAGGGTACCGCCCAGACTGGGATTCCTCCTCCCACTGGGAGACCCGCTCCGCCCCCTCCACCTCTGACTCCGCGCACCCAGCGGGTGGCCACTTTACAGGTCACCATTGCGCAGGCTCAGGCGGAGATTCTCGCTCTGAGACAGCCTCACCCATCACAGGCTGCCCACCCTTCCTCCTCGACCACCCCTTCGGTCCCCATGATGCAGGCTCGTTTCCCTCGACCTGCTCCTCAGCCTCTTCCCTCTTACCTGGCTATTCCGAGACAGCTGCTCGCGGTCGTTGCCTCCTCGTTTGTTGAACCATCAGCCAGCGGCCACGGCCCACAGCCTTCCCCCACCTCCGCCCCAGCAGCGGCCTCGACTTACACCGCCGCAGTGCACTCGCCTCGATCTCTCTCCCCCCGCCATCAGCACAGTGGACATCCTCCTGTGCGCACCACGGACATTCCTGAGTATGATGGCACATCTCGTGTCTCTCGCTGGTGACGATCACCCGTCAGGAATTGTGGTGCGATGTGCTCACAACCAAATTGCGAGGTAGCCCTTCCAGGAGTTGTGGTGCGATGTGCTCGCAACCAAATAGCAACACGTACACTCTCTATGACGACCACCCGTCAGGAGTTGTGGTGCGATGTGCTCGCAACCAAATTGCGAGGTACCCCTTCCACTGCGTGGAGGATCATTATACCCAGCGCCTCTGCGTGGGTGAGGTCCCCACTCTGGCCGACTTCGCGGCCTTCCTTCAGTACCGCTTCGGCCCTCGTCATGACGCCACCGACGCCTTAGACCGCGTCACCCATACTAGATGGTCCGGGTCCTCTGTACCGGCCGACCTGGAGCGTCACATTCGGGTGTTTCAGGACGCTCGCCTTGTCTGTGACAAGACATTTCTACCGGAGGTCACACTCACCGACCGGTTCCTTGTCAGCCTGCCGACTGACTACCGCCTAGAGCTGTGGAGGCGATCATTCTCTTCCGCGGAGCAGGCATACGAGGCTGCGCGTCAGTACCAGAGGATGTGCAGTCGCTTCTCTGTCGCCCCATCCTCCTCACGGCCAGCCGCCACCTCCCAGTCTCGTGGTACCACCAGAGGCCGCTCCTCGTTTGCTGGTCGTTTTCGTCGCCTGGCTCGACCTGGAGCGTCATTCTCTCGGCGCTACAATTCTCTCGAGTATGGAGAGGATGCCTCAGCCGAGCTCGACCCTACCGTTGGGGACACCCCCGAGGACATCGAGTTTCGGGACGTCATCCAGTATCTCTTGGATGATGACACTGTCCCCGTGGCCGAGCGCCTGCAGATGGCCATGTCTGCCATGGGTCGTGCGTGCAGTCGGGTGGCACAGGCTGGCGCCCACACACCCACCGTTCCCCAGATAGACCTCCCGCAGGGTTTCGTCCCTCCTCGCGGAGCTTAATCTCCTGAGGAGCGTGCCGCCCTCGAGGTCCGTCGCGGCGGCCTTCGTTGCCGCCTGGATGGACACACCTCCTCACGGTGTCCATACCATACCGCCCTCGATCGGCACTACGCTGATATCTCTCGTCAGCGTCGATCTCAGTCCCCCCCTGGCCCCGCCAGGCCAGCCCCATCCACCTAGCCACGGTGCAGTGTGCCCCTGAGGCCTCGCACGTAGCCGGCTTCCCGACCACCGAGTAGCGGTTTGCCCCTTTGGCTACCCCACCAGAGGACCCTCAGGACACGACAGACACAGTTCTCTCTGCCCCGTCGTCTGTCGAGGTACCGTCTGCCTCCCAGCAGACCGCCACATCTAGCACTTCTCCSCCGAGACTTCCGACGCGTCGCGCCATTCGCACAGCCCGTTGTAGCGCTCAGCTGGTGACTCGCGATGACGTTGTGTCATCTCTTCTGGACTTGAGCATTCTGCAGGCTCGTCAGGAGCGACTCACGAGACACGTCAACGTCCTGCGTCGTCTTCTCGCTCTGCTTTCTGACCCTGATCGCACCCTACCCATTATCCCTATTCGCCTAGGGACATCTACGAGGGTGTACCGTGCTTTATGGGACTCTGGCTTGCAGGGAGATTTCGTTCACCCTCGAGTGGTTGAGGAAGCTCGCCTAGCTACCTCTGGGTCCCGCTCTCCTATCTCCGTTACCCTCGGAGATAACAAGACGCAGCGCTTCTTCGATCGGACGGTCCCCGACCTCCACTTCTCCCTCACCCTCCAGCCATCGGATAGTACCCAGACGCCTAGGCGCTACCATTCCTCCTCATACTTCGACGTGCTGGAGACCGGGTACAACTTTATCCTTGGCACTCCCCGGTCTCGCCGGTTCCGTGGCACGAAGGCCGAATGGGCGACCGAGACACTCGTTCTCAAAACGAAGTATGGTCAGATTCATCGCGTCCCGTTCATTGGAACCACGGGCGACACCCCGCCCGACCTACCTCCCCAGGACCCTCGTCCCTCAGGGTCTCACCCCGACATCGCGTTCACTTCCCCTCGTCAGTTTGCTCACTTCATACAACAGGAGGACGTCACGTTCTACTCAGTCAACGTCATGGATCTTCTTCGCTATGATCTACTTTGTCCCGAGGTTGAGCTCATCTCTCTGGAGCCCGATCCCCCTGACCCTCCCTCCATCTTCGCGGCTCCCATCTCTACGTCCACACGTCAGCCTGCGGATACCCCCTTCACGTCCCAGGCCTCTGCGCCGTCGACTGTCGAGTCCACACATACGTCTTGTGCCGACGCAGACGCTGAGGAACTTACACAGTTCACGGCAGACTTAGAGTCGGTCGTTCGCGACCTGATTCGAGAGTACCGCGACGTCTTTCCCCCATATTTCTCATACAACGTGATTCCCCCGATGCGCAGTGTTGAGCATTCTATCCAGCTCGTGTCTGACTATCGTGTTCACCATCAGGCACCGTACCGACTCTCAATCCCAGAGGCGACGGAACTCAAGCGTCAGCTTGAGGAGCTCCTTCGACTGTTTTCATTAAACCCAGTAACTCCCCTCGGGGTGCACCTGTCCTCTTTGCTCGCAAAGAGAACGGAACTCTCCGCCTCTGCATCGACTACCGCGGCCTTAACCGTTACACGGTTAAGAACAGTTATCCCATGCCCCGCGTGGATGAGCTGTTTGACCGTCTGGCAGACAACCACTTCTTCACGAAGATCCATCTTCGTAACGGTTACCACCAGATCCGCGTTGCCACAGAGGATCAGCCGAAGACTGCCTTCCGGTCGCGCTTCGGCCATTACGAGTTCACGGTGATGCCCTTCGGCCTCACCAATGCACCCGTCACCTTCCAGACGGCGATGAACGACATCCTCAGGGACATCCTTGAAGAATACGTTCTCGTATACCTGGACGACATCCTGATCTACAGTCGTACCTTAGAAGACCATCTCAGATACCTCCGCGATGTCCTACAATGCTTATGCAAGCATGACTTCTATGCCAAGCTTAGTAAGTGCCACTTTGCCCAGCGCAAAGTGGACTTCCTAGGACACTATGTGTCTGACCAGGGTCTCCACATGCTATTGCAGAGTGGCCCGTCCATATATCTGCCAAGCAGCTTCGCAGTTTCCGAGGCCTCACCAGCTATTATAGTAATTTTATCCAGGGATACGCTAGATATTCCTACGTCCTTACCTCTACCCTCCTCCGGAAGAACCCGCCGTGGTTTTGGATACCCCTGTGCGAGGATGCCTTTCGCGCCCTCAAGAAGGCAGTGACCTGTGCGCCGGTTCTTCGCCTTCCCGATTTTGATTGTCCCTTTATCGTCACCACCGATGCGTCAAATTTTGCAGTAGGAGCTGTCCTCTCTTCCCTCTCCTCCAGATTCACCTTACCCCCATGTTCCTCCTTCCCCCCCCCCTCCTGCTGACACTGCTTCTTGACTGACGCCTACCCTCCCACCACTTCCCTCCACTGACAGTCCTCCTGTTACTTACTCCCCGACCATCGTGGAGGATGGGACTGTCGAGGCTCGTACTAGGGATTGCCCGATCGCTTTCTACCCCCGTCAGCTACTGCCTGCCGAGATAAACTACACTGCCGATGAACGTGAGGTTCTTGCAGTAGTTTATGTTACCCGGCATTGGGGTCATTATCTGCACGGGGCGCCCTTCACGGTGCGCACGGACAACTCCGTTGTCCAGGCTTTCCTCACAAAGCCTAAGCTTTCCCCTCGACATGCACGCTGGTGGCGTGACTTATCCGAGTTCAGTTTCACCACTCAGTCCATCAAGGGTGAAATGAACCGCGTCGCCGATGCCTTGTCCCGCCGTCCTGATCACAATCATGAACCCATCCATCTTGCTGCCATCTCCATCACCACTGTTGATCAGTCGGTGATCGACGCGTATCGCACTCAGTACCACCACTGCCCCGATTATCGCGTCATCCATGCGACACTGCAGAGTAGCAAGACCGTTCCTTCCTACTCCCTCAGGGAGAACGGCCTCGTGTACTGGCATGGCAGATCTGGTAAGCTAGAACCACGTATCTGCATTCCCTCTACCGGACAACTCCGCGTCCAGGCAGTAGCAGAGTTCCATGACCAGGCAGCTGTTGGTCATATGGGTTTCCACAAGACGTTGGCTCGTGTTTGCCGCCTATACGTCTGGCCGAAGTCCAAGGACTTTGTCAAAGCCTACATCCAGGAGTGTCCTACCTGCCAGGAGGTGAACAGTGCGAACCACCTTTCGTATGGGTTACTTCAGCCCCTATCCATACCTGAGGGTCGTTGGCAGTCCATCTCGATAGATTTCATTGGTCCCCTCCGCCCACCCACTGAGCGGGGTCATGATGCTATCTTGGTCGTCGTCAATCGCTTCACGAAGCATGCACGTTTTGTTCCGTGCCGCTATCGCATTAACGCTCGTGAGGTCGTTGACATTGTCTTCGACCAAGTCGTGAGAGATCATGGCTTACCTCAGACCATCATCTCCGACCGTGACCCGCGCTTTACGAGCACATTCTGGCGACGCCTACACAAGGTGTACGGATCCCAGCTCCGCTTCTCATCGTCTTACCACCCTCAGACGGATGGTCAGACTGAGGTCACCAACAAAATTCTCGGTAATATCCTCCGAAAGTTTGTTAGGGATGACCAGCAGTGAGACTTACACTTAGCCCACGTGGAGATTGCATACAACCACGTTGTTTCGCTAGCCACGGGGATGTCGCCATTCTATTGCGACCTCCGCTACCACCCTCGCGTACTCGCAGATTTCCTACGACCATCGCGGTTGCGCCCAGACACTCGTTGCCCTGCGCTTGATGACTGGATCGCCCACATGGCGGCGATTATGAAGCGCGCACACAAGATTTTAGCCGACTCCCAGACTTGCATGGCCGCACGAGCGAACCGATCACGAATGGATCATCCATTCAAAGTCGGTGACAATGTGCTCGTCGACGCACGCCACTTACAGCTCGAAGCAGATACGCTTCACAAGTTCAGGCGTCGTTTCTTCGGTCCATGCCACATCCTTCAGGCCGTCGGTTCTGATACTGCCGCTAGTCCAGTCAGCTTCCGTGTGAAGCTACCTGATTATCTTCGACAGGCTCACGTACACGATGTTTACCACGTCACCTTGCTGCGTCCTTATCGCAGACCGTCCGAGCGCTTCGCCGGACGCCCTTATGAGCGCCCTCCACCTATCATGGTGGACGGTCACGAGGAGTTCGTTGTTTCCGACATCGTCTCACGCCGAGCTACCAACGATACCCCTCCACGCATCGAGTACCTTGTGCGTTGGAAGGCTACCCTGATGAGGAGGCTACTTGGGAGCCCCTCGAGCACTTGCAGCACGCCAGGATGTTGGTGCGTGCATATGATCGTGCTCGTCGTGCTGAGACATCTGCTTCTACTCAGCCGACTAACCCTCTTCCTCCTCCTCCGGCTGAGGAGATTGCTGAGGACGAGCCCGCTCCCTCTGAGGTCGTTCCTCTGCCGCAGACGGTCGCCTCCGAGCGTCCACAGCGCACTCATCGCCGCCCTTCGGGTTACGATGACTGACACTCTTATCCTCTATCTTTCTCCACTGACTCACACCATCAGGTACTCCATCATCATCTCTTCTTCAGGATGTCAGCGTTTTGTAGCTCTGCTTCGACATCGACTCCACTGCTACTTCATCGACATCATCGACCACTTCGACGACTTCAACTGCTTTGGACATGACTACTTCACGTCACCACTCTACCCTGCATACTCCCTTGCTTCTATCGCATGATGGTTCTCACTTAGCTGGGTCTCTTTGAGTTTGGCTCTCCCTTAGTATCGCATAGGCATTGGGACCGTAGCGTTATCTTGGCTTCGTTGCTCCTAAATCTAGCTCCCTCTCCCAGTCAGTGAGTTGCGTGCATGTTTCCCTCACCCACTGCCCTCATCACCCTAGCGCCGGCTATTGCATGCCTCCGATTCGGCATAGCTCCACCCTATTTCAGGTTCCCCTTTTCATGGTCGATCCTGCATGGTGTCACCCTTTTGTCGAGCATTACCCGCCTTGATGGTCTATCTGCTAGGGTCATTGGTTTTGTTACGCTACCACTCTCCCACCTTGAGCCTGATGATCTATCCCACCTTCATGTGTGACTGCCCTTAGGAGTTTCGATTCTTAGGCTGCATTCACCCCCTCTAAGACCATACCACTCTTAGTGGTTCAGCGACATGACATTATCTTGTAACATATTGCTCATTTCCTTTCAGCACTGAGGCCACTGCCTCCAGGACTTTAGGATTGTATCATACTACATTTCATTTTCTGCTGTTAGTTAGGATATGTATACCAGACATTTACTTTTCTTTTGACATTATGTAGCTTAGGATGCATCGCATGGACTCCGCATGGAGCTTGCTCCGGATCCTAGATTTCTCAACTTTCTTTATTGCAGAGTTCCGCTGCTTTTGCGGATAGCGTGTTTATGGCTCTTACGATCCATTACAGGTCTGAGGATCGTGCAGCGGGCCTTCATCTGCCCTGGCCTAGAGCCAGGGCCTATTTGGCTATTTGCCCAGTTTGGCCTGTGGGACCAGGCCGTGGCCTGACCTCACAGGCCGTGTGCTATTCTAGTCCTGCCCGGTACCATTGTCGGTACCAGACCGGTCCAGTCCAGTCAGTCAGCCCGCTGGGGGTATACCCCAGCAGTTGTCTATTTTTCGGTATTCTTCACTTTTGCAGATCTTGGAGTACGTGCGTGTGGAGTCTGCGTCGGAGCTGCGCTGTCCCTTCCAGCTCCATCTCTACCTCCTCCTTCGTCCACCCTTCTTCTCCATCCTGTCGGACCGCCATCCCAGCGGGTCCGGCACACTTCCAGTCCATCTTGCTTCCAACGATTGTCCAATTCGCTTCCTTGAAATTAAATCTTCCAGTCTCACCGCCGCTACCCTCTTCCGTGCCAACTTCGCCTTTACTAATTCTCTGAGTTCTTGTGTCGTTGCCAAAATCTCCTTCAGATTCAACAACTCATTATGACCCTCAAGAAGTTTGTTTACTAAATTTTTCAGATCCACCGCTTTTTCAATCGACGTCTGATACTTCCAGTTCTTCTTTGATTTCTCCCCAGTCTTTTCCTTACCATCCTTAATATCCTGCTTACGCTTCTTGACTCTCTGTTCAACACGTTTGTCCTTTTCTCCCCTTAGTAATTCATCTTAATCTTCCTCATTTTTCTCTATATCAATAAAAGCCTCACGTTGAGGTGGTAAAGGAGTCTAAGCTGGTTCCTTGGATGCATTACCTCCCTTAGGTTTTCGAGCAGTATATGGAACGAAGTTCCTAAGAGTTTGATAGGTTGCTTCTGACCCGACAACCAGAGTTGCTCTCAGAACTCTAGGGTTGGGTTCTTTCATCTCATCATCCTCCTTCCCTGACTCGTAGTGAATACACGCGGAATCCTCATCTCCAAGTCCCTAATTTCTTCGCATATATCTTTCATCCTCGTATTCAATCTTCTCATCTTATCTATTAAATCTTTCATTCTTCCCATTGTTTCCTTTGGCGATTCCTTATGCGTTTCTTCCTCCTCAGACTCAAGCTCAATCAAAGGGGTTTCTTCTCTCTTTTGATCTACCCTTAATTCTTCTAAATGTTCACTTAGCTCGATTATGTCTTCTATTCGAACAAACAAATCCTCTTTCTTCTGCCATATACGAAACATGGTTGGGGCGCTGGGTTCGAGCCCCATGATCCTGAGAGTTTCCTTCTTTGTGCCTCCGGGGATGTTAGGATCAATTCGGTTCCCTTGCTTATCGAATATATCTCCATCTATACTTGACGTGATTACCCCATCATGTTCATTCATTTTTCTAACATGACATCTTTTCACAATATGCCCCTTGATCTGGCAGTGGGTACATGTGCATTCACTGTAATCTATCCAGCCTCATCCATATCCCTTTCCATTCCATTGTCCATCACTTCTTTCAAACCCTTTGCCATAGTGTTGGTTATAGCCTTAACTATACCCCTGACTGTATCCTTAGTTATACCCCTGGCGAAATTGATTAAAACTTACCTGATTATAGTTGCCCGACCGAGGGCCTCCCTGATTACCCCAATTCCCTCCTTGTCCGCCTATGTGTCCGAAATCGGATTCAACGGGGGTTTTGAGTTGAATGGTTCAACTCCCATTCAACTCCCGTTGCAACTCCTCGTTAAACCGAGTTGAACGTGGTACAACTCGGCCCGCATATTTTTTTTTTGCAGGTAAAACATAAGTGAAAAATATATATATATATAAATGGGGGTGTAAATTTTTTTGCTCTCTTCATCCCCATATTTTTATTTTTATTTTTATTTTTTTAGCATTAAAATTATTTTTAAGAAATCAAAAACAAAACCAAACTCAAAACAGATAGATTTTTTTTTCTGTTTTTTTTCTATTGATTGATTGAGTGATCGGTGGGGGATGGGTCGCCCCTCCCACCCTTACCGAATCACACACACACACACACACT